GTGGTCAGTGGGAAGAGCCGCTGGGGAGTGCAGTAAGAGCAGTCAGCCCCAGGCTCTAGAATTTAAGCTAGCCAGTCTTACTGCTGGGTTTTGCATTCTCTCACCTGCTGCTCCTGACTTTTCTAGCCATTCATCGTGTTTCCTTCCATTCCTGAAACTGAGCTTTCAAGGCCTGTATCAAATTGGACATTTGTTTCTTGTTTTGATTCCTTACATTTTGGTATTGTCAAACATAAAAGCAAGAGAGAGGGCAGAGTGGTGAAGCATCATTTCTTCCTCCTTTTTCGCTGTTGTTTGTGGAAGAGGACAGCCTGTCAGTCATTTCCTCCCTGCCTTCCATCTTGACAGAGCGGGGTCAGGTCTGGGGCCTTAAGAGTTCTCGCCTCCCTCTCAGCCTTCTTCCTTAATTGAATGGATAGTTCCCTACAAGCCATCTTCCAACAAAGCTTTATGATGCGTTTGAGAAACCTCTTTGCCAGAAAGCACTAAGAGAGTGGACACAACCTTTGTACCAATTTGCCTTCCTGATGCTGTCATTAAACACACTAGCATTGTTCTTAGAAGCAAAAGGAAAACTAAGTGGGAGGTTTATTTGAGAAAAATGTAAATGTGAAAGAAATGCAGGAATGGCCTGAAGCAGCAGTGGTGTGACAAATGGAGATGAGGTCATGGTCCTCTCTTGTCAACTGCAAGAGAAGAGCAGAGCTGCCTTCTGACTGTCAGCCTGTTCCTTCTCCCTTCTGTCCACTCTAGGGCAAGGTGGATGCATATATCAGCAGTAAAAGAAGCAGAGTATCTCTGTTCCCTTAGCCAGGCAGACACTTGTAGTGAAATATGTTCTCCTGTAGATATTATGGTTTTTCCAGCACCAGGATCTATTCAGGGAAGCACTTTAAAGGTACATGCCAAGGCTGCTGGCACTTAGTGTTGCTGAAAAGCCTGGGTGACTTTCTCTCCATAATGCTGTGGAGCCCTGGGAATCAGTCCTGTGGATTGCCTAGCCCTCTTTCTATGCACACCTGGGAGGCTGTGTTATCTCTTTGCAATGGTAAAATATGGGGCTCATGCCTTCAAGCTGTATCTTGCCTCATGACTTGTCCTTCACAAGGGAGTTCTGGGTTAGTTTAAAATGTTCTGTTCTTGTCTCACCTTCCCTTTCTTCTGCTACCACCTCCTCTCTTTCTCCCCTTCCTTCCCCCTCGATTTTCCTGTGTCAGACTGCCTCCTCCTCATGCTCCCCGCAGCCCACTTGTGTGTTCTCCCCCACCCCTCCCCTGACTTTAGCATGACCTGAATTTACATTTCCTTCTTCACCTTTCATGCGCTGACTTACTGTTTTTTCTTAGGGGGTCTTGTATTGCTCCCTGGTTAGTAACAATGGACTCATTTCTCTAATAATCCTTGGAAAGTCCCTCCTGGGGTGTTTGCCTTTCTTTTTGGGCTGATGTAGACCAGAATCTTGTTTTTAATAGCAGCTATGGATTAGTCACCTCAACATTAGTAGTCCAGGTCTTCTAGTAAAGTATGTTGCTGGCTGGTTGAAACTATATATTCTTCCTCTGTCTCCTTCTCTGCCCACCTCCCTCTACTGTAAACTGAATGCTGCTTGTGGTTGCTCCGGTTCTCTGAGTGTCTATGTGCTCCATGAGGAGGGAGAATAACAAGGAATGTACCAGCCCATTTTAATTTTTCTGCCTGAATATTTTGCCTTAGCTTTGGTAACTAGAAGGAAAGTTAGAGGCTTGTGTGTCACAATTTGTAGTTTTTTCAGGTACAGAGAATTTCTGGGTTCTGTGATAAATGAAGATTTGGCTGCCGAAGTGTTTTCCAGAGTGGCTGTACCGTGTTTAATTCTGATGAGCTATGGATTAGTCACCTCAACATTAGTAGTCCAGGTCTTCTAGTAAAGTACTAGTAAAGTACTAGAAGACCTGGACTACTAATGTTGAGGTGACTAATCCATAGCTGCTATTAAAAGCAAGATTCTGGTTTTTAAATCTATCAGAGTACCACCTTCTTCTTCATGAAGCGACAGCAGTATCATTATTTCTCTCCTTAAGGAGATACTTTTTCTGGAGCATGCTGTCGATAGATTTAATAGTTCAAAGCATCCCGTATTATTTAACATTTAGGTCCCTTCGGTTTTATCCCTGATTTTAGGTATGATTGTGAAAGGCATCCTGTAAAGAATTTTGCTGTACATCTCAGGCTGTTTCTTTAGGCAAAATTCCTAAAAACGGGATTACTAAGTTAAAGGGTGAGCTTTTCTTTCACCTTTTGACACACATTGGCTTCCTAAATTGTTGTGCCAACTTCCATTAGGATCAGAGTGAGGGGCTGGCCACCCCCTTCCTGTCTGATTTGAAGGGCCTCATCACGCAGTGAGGATATTTCTCTTTCCAGTGCCTTATTTTCACCTTTTCTATTTTACCTGATGTACTCTGCTTCGGGTGACTTTTTGTTTGTTTGTTTTGTTTTGTTTTGAGATGGAGTTTTGCTCTTGTTATCCAGGCTGGAGTGCAATGGCGCGATCTCAGCTCACTGCAACCTCCACCTCCTGGGTTCAGGCAATTCTCCCGCCTCAGCCTCCCGAGTAGCTGGGACCACAGGCACGCGCCACCATGCCAAGTTGACCAGAATGGTCTCAATCTCTTGACCTCGTGATCCACCCGCCTTGGCCTCCCAAAGTGCTGGGATTACAGGCGTGAGCCACTGCACCCGACCAGCACTTCGGGTGTTTTTTAGTCCACAAGTGTTTCAAGCTGCTGTGTCATCAAACGTACCAGTCTGTTCTTTCGTAGTTTGTCTTTGGAGATACACTGGTGCGGCTTCCCCATCTGAAGAGCATGGAAACAGTCACTTACACCACTCTATCTTTTTCAAGGCTTTGAACTTTACATTTAGCACCGTATGTATTTGTTTGTGACTATTAAGTGTGTGAGACACAGCACAGAGCACATGGCATGCAGGCAAGTTTAACAGATAATAACAGAAATGCCCAACCCGAGATATCCAGGGAGAGGAGGAAGCCATTTAGTGTTTGCTTTGTACATTTACGTAGAGGTTAAAACCAAGCAAAATTGAACTGTATATTGTTTAAGAATACACCTTCAGAATTGTAAAAAGCAAGGGAGTTTGTTTTGAGCGGAGAGGGAGATAAAGCGGGGTGGGGACACTCAGCCTCCCTGGGTGCTCTGTTTCTTCAGGCGGGCGGTGGACCTTTTGGAGTCATTCTGATCTAAACTGTATATAGTCATTTTACAAACTCTTTGAACGTATATGTTACTCTGTGGGTATAGAAAAAAAATGAACCAAAGTGCTTTTTCCTATCCTGTCACTCAATAATTAACACAGAACACTCTGTGACCAAATGTAGGGGGATTTCTCCCCATCAGCAAGCAAGCAATTCTGCAGCAGACTCCAGCTGGGTTCTGACACTGCCGACCTAAAGACAGCATCAGACCACAGGCTGAGGAGGAGACAGAAGAGAGACCTCTCGTAGGGGCACACCAGCGCTGCCGCCCTACGCCACACAAGGAGAGAAAGGAAAATCTTGAGTCCTTTCAGGGGAACTTCCAGGTACCCAGCTAGGCTTGAGAAGTAAATGAGCAACTTGATAAGCAAGAAGGTAGTGACATAAAGCAACAGCCAAAGAGGTCAGAGTCGGATGTTCGGTTTCCTACAGAAACTGAAGCTAAGATCTTCATGTATGTCCCACACTCCAACCAACTGGGCAAACCAGCCACCTACCCTGAGCTTTTCCTTTCTTTTTTTTTTTTTAGACAGTCTCGCTCTGTTGCCCAGGCTGGAGTGCAATGGCGCAATCTGGGCTCACTGCAACTTCTGCCTCCCAGATTCAAGTGATTCTCCTGCCTCAGCCTCCTGAGTAACTGGGATTGCAGACACCCGCCACCATGCCAGGCTAATTTTTGTATTTTTAGTATGGACAGGGTTTCACCATGTTGGTCAGGCTGGTCTCGATCTCCTGACCTTGTGATCCACCAGCCTCAGCCTCTCAAAGTGCAGGCATTACAGGCATGAGCCACTGCCCCAGCCTACCCTGAACTCTTTAAAAACCTGGACCCCAGCTGGGTGAGGTGGCTCGTGCCTATAATCTCAGCACTTTGGGAGGCCAAGGTGGGTGGATAAAGAAATCAGGAGTTCAAGACCAGCCTGACCAAGATGGTGAAACCCCATCTCTACTAAAAATACAAAAATTAGCCGGGTGCAGTGGCACGTGCCTATAGTCCCAGATACTCGGGAGGCTGAGGCAGGAGAATCGCTTGAACCAGGGTGGCGGAGGTTGCAGTGAGCCAAGATTGAGCCCTTGCACTCCAGCCTGGGTGACAGAGTGAGACTCCATCTCAAAAAAAAAAAAACCAAACCTGGACCCCCACCACATGGAATCTGCCGGCACGTAGACTTCAGATAAGGGGGAGCTGAGCACTGAACTCTGACCACTGCTGTTCTTTGATCTACATTTCTTCCTGAAGGGCCTGGAAGAAGCCACCCCCACATTACCATTCCTGTCTTTAGACAAAGCCTAGATTCCTCAATCAATGGCAAACAGAGAGTCTTTGAATCTACTTATGACCTGGAAGTGCACTCACTTCAAGATATCCCACCTTTTTAGGCCAAACAAATGTACCCCTGCTTTTAAGAGGCCTTGTTTGTTAGCCCCTGGGGAAACTGGGTCTCCAGTGTGAGCTGTCCCCATTCTCTTGCTTGGCACACTGCAAATAAATGCCCTCTCTTCTCCTGCTGCAAAATCTCAACGTGAATGTTTGGCTTTACTGCACCCGGCAAGCAGACCCCAGTCCAGTTTGGTCAGTCCCCAAGACTGTCCCCCAACTTCCAATGTCAGTCAAAAGCCCCAGGTTGTTTCACCTGTGCTTCTGGCTGACCAGTTAGAAATTGGGGTTCCCATGACCCCTTCCTTGGGTTTAACTTGCTAGAGTGACTCAGGGAACTTAGGGAGACACTTACGTATATTTGCTGGTTTATTGCAAGAGATACGAAAAAGGTTACAGCTGAAGTGATGCACAGGGTAAGTGATGGGGAAGGGGTGGGGAGCTTCCCTGCCCTCCTGGGGGGCACTGCCCTCCAGGAACCTTCATGTATTCAGCTCCCAGAACCTGTCTGTTTGTGTTTTTATGGAGGCTTCATTATGGAGATATGATTGATGAAATGACTGCAGTGTCACCGGTGAGCAACTTAACCGCGTCTCTCTCCTCTCCCCAGGATGGATCCCGCCTTGGTCTTTCCATTGACCCGTCCCATCCTGAAGCTACCCAGCGGCTGCCGGCCCTCCGTGAATCATTCACATGCAAAAAGATATCACTTTGGAGATTCCAAGCGTTTCAGGAGCTGTATGCCAGGAAAAGGGAAGGAGATCAAACATATTTTTAACAGTATCACAGTTCCATATAGCATGTAAACAAATCTTTGTGGTAAAATATACATAATACAAAATCTACCATCTTAACCATTCTTAAGTACACAGTTCAATGGCGTTAAGTACGTCCCACTGATGTGTGGTCATTGCCAGCATCCAACTCCAGAACTCTTTGCACCTTGCAAAACTGAAACTCTGCCCTCATTAAACAACTTCCCGTCCTGCCCCCATCCCCCGCAACCCATTCTACTCTGTGTCTCTATGAATTTGACAACTTGAGGGCCTCCTGTCAGTGAAATCACGTTTGTCCTTTCACGCCTTAGTGTCATGTCCTCAAGGTTCGCCCTGTGGCAGCACGTATCAGAGCGCTCTTCCTTTTTAAGTCTGAATCTACTCCTCTGTGTGTATCAGCCACATCTTAGCCATTCCTCTGTCAATGGACTCTGCATAGAATTAAAGTAAAATTTTCCTCCTTGCATCTCCATTTGACTCTTCAATTGTCCCGGAAGGCACATGGGTGTGCGGTGTGATGTCTGGGCAGAAGGGTCTACTTTGAATTTCCCCACCTCTGAGAGCCGTGAGAAACTTGCTCCATTTCACAAGCTTTTGTGTAAACCTATTTTGTATAGAGCATGGTGAGGAGGCTGAAATAAAGCGTCTGTTCTTGTATTCACCAAATATCCATTGGGCACCTGCTACTCACTGGGCATATTTCTAGGGGCCTGGTATAGACAGGTATAGACCCTGCCCTCACTGGTGCTCAGAGCTGGAAGACAGAGGCCAGTTCTAAGGCAGAGGAGGGAGTGTTGCTTCCAGATTTATGGGGGATGTTCAGGGAAGGCTTTCTGGGGGAGTCTTTGATCTGGGTCCCAACACATGGAAAGACTGAATGGAGATGAGAAGGGGAGTATTTCACTAAGGGAGAACAGCTTACCTAAAGGCCTGAAGCTGAATGTGGGTACTGGTTCATAGTTTTATCAGCGTGTTCAGCTGCAGGGGACAGAAATCCTCAACTAGAGGGCTTAGTAATAAAGGCATTGGATTCATATAAAGAAAATTGCACAGGCAGTTAGTTCCATAGCTTACTGGAGCCCCAGGCTCCTTCCATCTTGTGTGTTTTGGTTTTTGTTCTTAGGCTTTTTGCCTCATAGTTGCAAGATGGCTGCCTTAGTGCCGGTCATTGCATCCTTTCATGGCCTTCAAAGGTTGGGGACAAGAGGGCCAGCCAAGTTGTTAAGAGTCTGCTCCTCTCATGTCTGTCTCTTTATACCAGGAGGTCCATTTCTCCCAGCCTTCCTTCATGTTTCATCATTGTTCAGAAGCACATCAGCAGGCAGCCACAGGCTCCCCCACTTACTATGGAGAGTGGGATTCCCTGACTGGTTTGGACTTCAGGAGCTGAGCTGTGCAACAGAACTCTCTGTGTTGATGGAAATGGTCCAGGTCTGTGCTGTCCAAATGACAGCCACCAGCCACAGGCGGCCACCGAGCACCCAGAATTTGGTTCATCCGATGGAGGACCGGAATTCCTATTAAAGGAAAGGCTGCTGTGGTGGCCAGCCCGGCTCTGGAGGTTGCACCACTGGCCCTGGCTGGATGAGGTCTGACTTCTATTCATGCAGAGAAGGGAGATGTCAGTTGAGGAGGTGACCCAGGCATCTGCCCACCTGTGAGTAGATGCGGAACCAGGTGAATGTGTGTATGTGGAGGGGAGAGGTGGTAGAGGAGGCTGAGGGGCCGCAGCACCTCTGCTTTCTTCATTGGGAGGGAGAGTGGGAGAGAACTCACCCCACGCACCGACCAGCACACCAGGTCTTCAGCCTCACCCTCAGGGTTGCAGAAAGCTCAGCACCCTCTCTGCAGTCTCCAAGGCCCCTCTGGCTCTGATTTTGCTCAGCACACAGGCCCCTCTTTAGTTCTTCCCAGCTGAGGAGGAGGAACTAACACGACAGCAAATTCCAAAGGCCCTTCCTTCTTCTTCTGAACCACAGGCCTGGCTGGCTTTCTGCTGGCCACAGGGTCGGGGCTGGAGGAGCCTCTCTCGGGCATGGTGTCTGGGAAATCTCCCCTGAGCCTGCAGGCAGGGGCCGGTCAGCCCCTTTCACAGGTGAGGAAGGTGAGCTGGTCCCTCTGGCAGGGTGCCGAGCTTTCTGCACCCCCAGCCAGCCTGGCTCGTGAAAACTCTGGAGTCTGAGCTGGAGGCAGCACAGGGCCCAGGCCGTGACTCAGGGCCAAGTCAATGGAAACACGGTTTGGGTGTATTTTTAACCTTGCTGGCTGTGAGCTAAGAGGCTGGCGCTGGTGTCTGCGGTCAGTGAAGATGAATGGCTGGGCTGCTGGGCAGCAGCATTCGGCATCCCGGCTGAGCAGGTCCCCTACCTGCCATCCCCTTTGCCACCCAGGGTCCTGTGAGGGAGTGGGAGAGGGGCAATGAGCAGGAAGCCAGCACCCTTTCTGCCAGTGCCCTTCCTGTCTGTCCATCCAGCACCTGGGCTGTGGACTGAGGGCTCGGTTAGAATCCTGGCTCTGCCTCTTACCAGCTGTGTAACTTTGCACCAGTTACTTTACCTCTCTGTACCTCTGTTTCCTCATCTACAAAATGGGCATCCTAGCACTGTCTCCTGGGGTAGGTGTGAGCCTGGCATTTGCCCATGGCAAATACTCAAAAACAATGACCAACATTGGCACAGCCAGCTCCGGTCCACAAACTTTTTATACCAACCCACAATGAGCTCCACGGTTACTGCCCAAGCAGCTACCATCACCTTCACCTTGTGATTGGGAAACCAAGGCACAGAGAGGCAAGTAACTACTGTGAGGTTCCTGCGTGGGGCTGGTAGAGAGCACAGGTCCGAGGCCAGGAGCCCTCTTCCCACAAGGCTGGCCTCTGGCGCCATGGCTGGGTCACTGGCTTCCATGTCCCTGGGATTCCCACTGGTTCCATGTCCCACTGCCTGTGGGGGCCCCAGGCCTCTCGCCCCTCATCCACTGATCTCTCTTTTTTTTTTCAGATGGAGTCTTGCTCTGTCACCAGGCTGGAGTGCAGTGATGCAATCTCGGCTCACTGCAACCTCTGCCTCCTGGGTTCAAGTGATTCCGCTTCAGCCTCCTGAATAGCTGGGACCACAGGTATGTGCCATCATGCCTGGCTAATTTTTGTATTTTTAGTAGAGACAGGGTTTCACCATGTTGGCCAGGATGGTCTTAATCTCTTGACCTTGTGATCTGCCCGCCTCAGCCTCCCAAAGTGCTAGGATTACAGGCGTGAGCCACCTTGCCCGGCCTCCTCCACTGATCTCTGCCTCCACTCTTACCTGTGAGCCTCAGGAGGGCGAGTGAGTGAGCGAGTTCGCTTGTTCGCCCATTTATTGATTTACTCACGCACTCATCCCCTGTGTGTCCACAGAGCCCCTTGGTGAGTGGACTCTGCTCTGTGGATGCCACCGTGCCCACAGCCCACCCTCACTGAACTCAGCCTGGTGTAGCCAACGGACATCAAAGAAACACGCAGCCACAATGACACTCATGGGGAGAATGGGGGTGCTTTCAGTCTTGGGCTGCGTGCTCTGGGAAGCCTCACAGAAGAGGAGGATTCTTTCTGGAACCAGGGGACAGGCAGTGGGGACAACAAAGAAATTCACTTGGAGGGGCCATGAGGGCTGTGTGTGAGTTGGACGTGGTCTAGCAGGGAAAGAGTGAATGGTGCGCCCAGAAGAAAGAACAGCAATGGCAGAGGCGTGGCATTGGAAAATGCTGAGCTGGTGTGGCTGGGGCTGCGGGATGCACAGGGGAAGCCAAGCCAGCTCTGACCTCCCCTCTGCTCCCTCCCATCTGCCACCATACAGGGCACAGCTGACTTCCTGGTCAAAGGAGAAGCCCCTCTCCCTGTGGCCCCATCTCGTGGAGGATGATGGTAACCGCTGGCCCTTTTACGCTTTCTGGTGGGGGCCAGGCTGCCAGCTGGATCAATGAACAGTCAGTGAAAAAATGTCAGGAGCAATTGGAAGGTACCTGTGGTCTGAGCTTTATCTGCAACAATATGTCTTTATTAATGATGCAGCCGAAAGTGCTGGCAGAAGCGGTCACAGCTACTCATCCTCTGGGCATGCACTTTTAATTCACTGCTGCAGCCCCTGATGGAGATGAGGCCTTGAGTTCTGCTCTCTTGAAAGCCCAATCTTCTCCCTGTGAAATGGGGCTATGGTGTGTATCAGTTAGGTAGCCTGCCATAACAAACATCCCCTAAACTCAGGGGTACAAAACAACAACAGTTCTCATTAGCTCACAGGTCTTTGTTGGGCTCAGCTGCTCTCAGCCACTTACTCACTGTCTGTGGCCTCAGCTGGGACATCTGGGCCTCATGCTGTAGGGGGCCTCTCACTCTCCAGTGGGCTAGTCCTGGCTGGGTCACTGGTGGCAGAGGAGTCCCTAGCACAAGAGTGGAAGCTGCAAGACCCCTTGACACCTGGTCTCTGAAATGGCACAGCGTTGCTCTGCCTTCTACTGGCATGGAAATCACATGACTCGAGGGAGGGGAGATAGATTCCTTTCTTCATGGAAGTTGCTGCAAGTAACTTGCAGCCATATCGCAATTTAGATGTAGTGAAAGCGATCTTGAGTTCCATCAATAAATGTGTTCTGAGCACCGCTCCCTCCCCGGCCCCAAAACATCAGATTGTATGCTTGGTAGTGCTGGGACAATGGGGAGAAATCTGACTTGGTATCTCCACTATAGGAGCTTCTAGTCTGATGGAGGAGGCAGACAAAGTCAGACAGGAGCACATCCAAGGTGCTAGAAGCCAATGAAAGGTTTGGCTTAACAGACAAAGGAGGTCAGCTGGGGGGAGTGCCTCATGCCTGTAATCCCAACACTTTGGGAGGCCAAGGTGGGCAGATCACCTGAGGTCAGGAGTTGGAGACCAACCTGGCCAACATGGTGAAATTCTGTCTCTACCCAAAATACAAAAATGAGCTGGGTGTAGTGGCAGCTGCCTGTAATCCCAGATACTTAGGAGGCTGAGGCAGGAGAATTGCTGAAACCAGAAGGCGGAGGTTGCTGTGAGCCGAGATCGCGCCACTGTGCTCCAGCCTGGGTGACAAGAGTGAGACTCCATCTAAAAAAAAAAAAAGAGGTCATGGGGTCATGGGGTGGTATGTATGTGGGGAATAAACTCTAAAGCTCTTGTGAAGTGTCTTGCGGCTTGGGGGACAGGAGCTACCCTTGATTCTGCACTGATTCTTTCCCAGGGATGTTCAGGAAGCTCTCCTCAGCTCTGGGTTATTTGCCGAGGCTCAGCGTGGGTGAGGTCACGCAGCCTGAGGAAGGTCTGAGATTGGGATCCAAGTATGCCCGGCCTTTGGCACCTGTCTAGAGCCAGCTGGCTTTGACCCTGATGGATTCAGGAAGTGAGACACTCCCAGGTGGGCCAGCGAGGCTCAGGCTGCAGCACAGAGGTGCGTGTGCAGGTGAGCTTGGGGAGGCAGGTGGCCGAGGCTTGCCCGAAGGCTGAAGAAACACAGGCAGCAGGAGGGTCTCCAGGGGGCACATTCTGGGACCTGGAGCCAAGACCTACTTTGCAGGAACCACTTGTTCCCCAGTGCCTGCTCTGCCCTGGCTTGGCTGCCCAGGGCTCACGACCTTCCTTTCCCTTTTGATGTGTTTGTCGCATGTCAGTGTTGCTGGGAAGACAAAAAAGGAGACGCATCCTTCAGCTGCTCCTTGTTACCTAGAGAGGAAGTCTCCAATGTCTTCCAGGCCTGCCTCAGAGAAAGCCACAGATGCTGTGGGTGTCTCCTGGATGGTGGGGGTGACAATGGCAGCAGCAGCCATTGCAGGAACAGCACTGTTCACCAGGCGCTCTCCTGGGCTAATCTCCTCTTTGAATCCTCATCATGTCCCAAGATAGGTGTTATTAGGCCTGTTTTGCAGATGAGGAAACTGAGGCACAGAAAGGTGAAGTGGATTGCCTGAGTTCACACAGTCAGTAAAGCTGTGGCCCAGGGAATGTCCGACGCCAGCAGTCCTGCTGTCTTCACCAGCTGGCAGCCTCAGGAGCTGGGACATCAAGCCCAGTGGGTCAGGCTAACTGCTTTGTCTGTGTCATGGCCCTGAATCTTCACAACTACCTCCTCTAGGGCTGCTATCACCTACCATCTTGGAGATGGGGAAATTGGGACACAGAGAGGCAAAGCAACCTGCCCAAGGTCACACAGCAGGTAGGTGACAAAGCCAGGAATGGGTCATAGCAGTTGGGACTCTGAAGAGTCCTGGCTCTTAGCTGCTGTGCTGGGAATCCTCTGGACTCCAGGCCCTGCGGGAGAGCAGTGCTGCAAGATGCCAGTGTGGGCACCTCTGGGATGGTCCCTGTGGGAAAGTTTACTCTCTGAATCTTTGCTTCCTTGTGGTCCCTTCTGACATGGCCAGAGGGAAGAGCAGAGATGCCGTGGAGGTAGGCCTGGCAGGTGGGAGGCTGTGGGGAAGAACAGAGGGAGGGTCGCAGCTCTGCCCACTTCAAGAGGCTGTGAGTTCCTGCAGCTGCCTCAGGCCCTGGGCACAGGCCACCTCCTGGGCCTCTCTGGGTCCCTGGATGTTTGGACACTCCCATCCTCTGGTCAGGGGTCTCAGGGAGTACTCACTTCACAGCAGTAGCAGCAGCAATAATAACAGCGTGGCTGCCACTTCCTGAACACTTATTAAGCTCACGCACTGCCCTAGGAGCTCACTCCTGGGAGGCAAGGGCTGTTCCCATTCCCGTTTTACAGGGGAGGAAACAGAAGCACAGAGAGGGTGAAGGACTCACCTTCTAGGCCAGCAGGTAGAGGGGCCAGGGATTAGATTTGTGCACCAGGACCCTTCACTGCTAGGGAAACCAAGGCCAGGGAGAGGAAAGGACCCACCCTGATGTCCCAGCACGGGAATAGAAGAGCCGGGATCAGAAATGCCGGGTGCCATGGAGGCCGGAGGGATGTGGGTGGGGTCCTGTGTCCCATGCATATTCCCTTAGCTCCCTGGGCCTCTGTTTCTCTCTCTGTAAAGTGGAGATGCTAACAGCACCTGCCCCAGGGGACGGCTTTGGAGATTAATGGAGCAAATGCATACAAAGCACTTAGGAGACAGCCCACATGCGGCAGGTGCCCAGTGCAGCCGCTGGCACCACGACGCTGGGGCCTCGGGGCTGTGGTGCCAGCACTGGGTCTCTGGAGAGCTAGTGGGCAGCTGGGACATCCCCACAGTTTACACAAGATGGCCTTGAGGAGAGACCCACTCACCCCAGCCTGGCCAGAGAGGGCAGCCAGGCTAACATGACTGACTGCCTGGCATCCATCCACACACCCACTTGGAATCCCTCACTCGGCTCCCTGGTCTGGTTGCCCATTGCGTGGGCCTCAGCTAGGGCTGGCGGCCTGGCAGGACGAGGCATATAGCTCGAATCTTTAGGGGTGCTCCCTTGGTGGCAGGTGGGGGTTGCCTAGCAGGGACTCTCTGTTTATGGGCTTCACTGGACAAGAAGCTGGCAGCGCTGACAAAGCTCACGTGGCCCTCACACTGTGCAGGGCTCATTCTCAATGCTTTACGCCTTATCGTTGGGGCAGGAAACAGCAGCAGCAGCCCATTCTGCAGATTGGAAAACTGAGCTGGGAGGCACATTTCCACAGCTGGTGAGCATCAGGGACCCTGAGGCTGCACCTTGTCCACCACCTGGTAAGCCGGGTGCTTGCATTATTATGAGTTAGTTACTGGGGAAACAGGCACAGACAGGTGACGTGTCTTGCCCAGGGCTGCCCAGGGAGGAAGGGATAGAGCTGGGGTTGGAAGCCAGGTTCCCTAGCCAGAGGCTGCAGAGCTCCCCATGACACCTTCAGTCTGGCCATGCATGCTGAGCCCCCCCCCCCTTACCCATGCCTGCTGGGCCTGGCTCCCTGCGGCCTCCCTACCCTGGCCCATCAGCATCCTCCCCTGGCCCAGGATGCAGTGCACAGTCCCTGATGGGACAGTGATCTTCCCAGGCCTCAGTATGCTCATCTAAGAAATGGCCTTGAAGCACGTGAGCAGGTGGCCCATGTGCTGCCCAGGCTCCTGGACACCCTCTTTTCCCCGCTGCGTCCTTCTGGCCTCATCTTGGAAGCACAACAGGGTTGCCAGGGCCCTGTGGGAGACCCCCACGCAGCCTCACCCGCCGCCTCTGGAAACACATGCATCCCTGTGGAAGTGAGAAGCCCTGCCCACCCTCTGCGTCCTTGCCTCGCCCTGCTGTCCTGCTGAGCTGAGTTAGGGATTTGGGGTGCATCTCACCCTCCTTATCCCCACTTGGGCCTTTTTCCTCCCTTTGAATTGTCTGTTTCGCTGCAGAGGAAGCTATTCATGGCCAAGGTGATGCAAAATTCATCAAGTGTGGCTGCCGGGGCTGAGGCTGCCCCCGCAGTGGCCAGCGCACCCCGCCCACTCAGCGATCTTCCTCTGTGGGTGCAAATGAGTGTGTGACTGTGTGAGTGTGTAACTGTGTGTATGACTATATGTGACTCTGTGTGTGATTCTGTGTCTGTGAGTGTGTGACTGTGTGAGTGTGTAACTATGAGTGTGTGTGACTATGTGACTGTGATTCTGTGTCTCTGTGTGAGTGTGTGACTGTGTGTGTAACTGTGTGACTGTGAGGGTGTGAGTACATGTGTATAACTGAGTGTGTGTGACTCCATTTGAGGGTGTGAGTGTGAGTAACTGTGACTCTATGTGACTGTGTGATTATCTGTGTGAGGGTGTGACTGAGTGTGTGTATGTAACTCAGTGTGTGTAACTGTGAGTGTGTGTGACTGTATGTGACTGATTCTCTATAAGTGTGTGACTGAGTGTGTGAGTGTGTAACTGTGTGTGACTCAGTGTGTGTAACTCTGAGTGTGTGTAACTGTGAGGGTGTGTGAGTGTGAGTGTGTGTGACTCTGTATGTGACTGTGTGATTCTCTGTGTGAGTGTGTGACTCTGAGTGTGTGTGTGTGAGGGTGTGAGTGTATAACTGTGTGTATGACTGTGTATGTGACTGTGTGTGATTCTGTCTCTGTGAGTATGACTAAGTGTGTAACTATGAGTGTGTGTGACTCTGTGTGTGAGTTTGTGAGTGTGCAAGTGAGTGGGGGGCACTTCCTCGGTCCTCTCCTGAGCTCCCTCTCCTGGCCTCTCCTCTAGTGTCCACTCTGGGGACAGCTCAGCACAGGTTCTTAGGAGGGGCAGAGCTGGTGGCATGAGCCCATGCAGTCTCTCCTCATTCTGGCTGGTTCTGGGCAGGGCTCCTTTCTCCCCTTAGCTGGACAGCAGTTTGTTCTCCTTCTCAACAATGAGAATTACACAGGACATCGGTCCCCACCTCCAGAGCCCACGCCACAAGCCAGGCACCGTTCCCACAGACTCGTTCCCTCCTCACAATACCCTAAGGGGTAGTGGTGATTATTACCTGATTTTTACAGGTGGGTAAACTGAGGCCCAGAAAGCCTGGCTAGGGTAGCTGGGGCCTGAGGGTGGAGGGCTGGGAGGTGGAGGAGCTGGGATTTGAACCCATCTGTCAGCTTGCTTGCCACTGCTTACCCAATATGGCATCCTGCCTCCATTGGTCCTGTGGGTAGATCAACAGATTGATTGATGGATCCTCTTCCCTGGGGACTCCAGATACAGAAAGATTCTGGCACTAGAAGCTTCCCAGAGGACTGGTCTCTATCCCATTCTCAGAGGTGGGTGAGGCCCAGGGAGGAGACATGAGCTAGCCATGGGTGGAGGGCCAATCCCACCTACCTGACTCCCCACTCTGGCTCGGCTCCTGGCCACTGTGAAGGCTGTGGCTCCAAGTGTGGCCTGGGTCGGCCCAGCGCCTCCCCAGACAGGACAGCCAGCCTGAGCCACCTGGGCCACCCTGCAGAAGCATGGTCTGGGGAGGGTGACAAATGCAGCAAATGTTTCCCTTGCCCTGGGCTCCGTGCTCTGTGCTCCTCCCTCACAGCAGCCCCAGCAGCTTGGGTGTCCACCTCCCCACCGACCCCGGCAGGGCCAGATCCAGAGCCCTGACTCTCTGCCATGTCTCTGCATGGGCTGCTGTGTCCCTGGTGGAGGGTTCCCCACTTTTTACTGAGGTAAAATTTATGTAAGGTAAAATTGCCCTCCTTAAAGCATACAGATTAAGTGGCATTCCACTCATGATGTGCAATCATCGCCACTCTAGTTCCAGAACATTCCCATTGCTCCAGAAGAAGATCCCATGAAAATGCAGAGCGGTTGCTCCCCACGCACCCTCCCCTGAGCCCGCGGGAGCCTCTGATCTGCTTTCGGTCTGTATGGGTTTGCCAGTTCTGGGCATTTCATGTAAATGGAACCCTAAGCATCTGTCCTTCTGTGTCCTCCAGGTCTTTGTATGCTGTACCAGGGCTGGAACGCCACACTCTTCAGGTCGTGGATGAGCGGGTTCATTGTGTGGACACACTTGCGTGTTCATTCATCTGTGGACGGGCTCAGGGCTGTCTCCACCTCTTGGCTGCTGTGAACAGAGTT